GGTGATGTCCCTTCCGTCTTTTAGTTTCACTTTTGAAGTAGTTGTTCAAAGCAGCAAACTCCGGCATTAACCTATGCCGCCATCTTGGTTCTCTCCTCCAGTGTTCTGCATTTTAGAAGGCTATTTAGTAACATGCCTCACATTAAATTTTGCTAATCAAAGTAAAGATAAATTTCTGTCAATTGTTTGCAAATTTCTTAGTTTCTTTTTTCCTATGCATCATTTAATAATAATGCTTGAGATTCTATTATTAAGTTTCCATTTTAGATTTAAGAATTTGAATTTTAAATACAATTGACTCTTGAACAACATCTTCGTCACCCTGCTCAGTGGAAAAGCAGGGTAACTTTTGACTCCCCCAAAAGCTGAACTACAGCTGTCCCTCAGGATTAGTTCCAGGACATACATACACACACACACACACACACACACACACACACACACACTCTCTCTCACCCGCCAGACACACACACACACATACACAACACACTCACCTGCCAAATACCAAAATCTGTGGATGCTCAGGTTTGTTATATAAAATGGCATAGAGCAATGCATACAGTTGGCCCTCTGCATTTGCAGATTCCAAGCTGCGATCAATTTTGATCCATGGTTGGTTGATTCTGTGGATGCAAAACCCTGGGATGTGGAGAGCTGACTATATTTATTGAAAAATTGCTTGTAGATGAACCTGTGCAGATCAAAACCATGTTTTTGAAATACCACCTGAAATGAATTTTTTGAAGTAAAATTAGCATTAAGATGTAGAAGGTTATAATTATAAAAGCAAAGAAGAATAAAGCCACTTCTATCGTTTTCTGAAAATTTTAAGAAGTTGGGTTGATACTGTTTTTGTACCACTAAAATGCAATATCATTGTTCTTAGCATGGTACTGGTTTAATAATTTTTAAAAAGATTTTGAATCTCTTTAGTCTTTTACTCCATGTAACTGGCATAGATGAAATATTACTTAAGATAGCAATTGCCTTCAATACCATTTTGAAAAATAATGTCAAAACTATTCTATATGGAGAAATTCTGAATAGAGATCTTTTGGAGATTTACTATACACCCCAGTCCACCATCATTGTCTGTGTTACATTGTAACTTTAGACCAGAGCTGAAATCATTCTTACTATTTTAGTTAGTATTGTAGGTTTCAAAAAACAAAAGTTTTACAAGATGTTATTTAGTCCTGTAATTTGCCAGAAAAGTTCACATACTTTTATCATGTCATCTTGGAGCCATCCAAAGCACTTTATTTCAGCTCAACAAAAATCTATTAGGTCTGTACTTTGTTTACCAAGTACTCTGTTTATAGAAATTTAGAAACTAATATGATGCTTTCTTTGAGAAGCTTAGAGTCTGATGAATGAGATGGACACGTGAACAGAGAATTTGAATAGTGGGTAAAACACCTATAGTTCTATTGAGGAGGGCCATTTAGTACTTCTTTGAAGATTCATGGAAGGCTTCCTGTTAAATGAAGCTGACTCTTAAAAAGTGACCATAACTTCCCAAGTTGTAGAATGGGAGACTTAAATTTATAATACTTTATTGTATTTGTTTTAGAGAAGTTATAAAGGAAGTACTTAAAAAATTAAAAAATACAAAACATTTTTAGATTATTTTACCAGTTTTCCCTACATGAAGTGTTGCATTAGGTTTGATAGTGATTTAGATTCATATCTCAACATGACAATATTAACAATTGTAGGGGGGTTTTTTGTTTTAATTTAGAAAATTAAATGAGTGAAAGACATAGTTATTAAATGTACTCTTTGTAATAGTTCTTGAACAGGGGCAGTGTTTACTAGCAGGCCTAGCTTATGCTGTACTATTATGAGATAGCTGAAGTATTCAATTTACCAATTTATACTACCTAACAAATGAAAATAACTGCAGTATCCATTCTTTCAACAAGTGTTCTTTAACCATTTATCAAATGTCATGAGCTTTACTAGGTACTTAAAATACACCTGAGAAACAAAAATTGACAGTGTTGTTATTTGGGAGGAATTGGGGAAGACAGTAGAGTAACTAGAGGTCCCATGCATGAAAATTCGTGCAAGAGTAGGCCTTCCTTCCCCTGGCTGCCAGCATCGGCTTCCCTCTGGCACCTGGGACCCAGTCTTCCTTCCAGCCGCTGGCAGGCACCGGGACCAAGCTGCTTCCCTCTGGCCCTGGCTGTGTCCAGAATGATGCCCGGAAGGATGTCCAGTTTAATTAGCATATTACCCTTTTATTATAGATTAGTATGTTAGTAGATGATATGCTATGAAAAATTAGAGCAGAGTAGGAAGGGTTAGGAGTGATGATGTGAAGGAGTGCAGAAGACAGTAATGGGCTAGAGATAAGAGACTTTGGGGAGTTGTTAACTTGTACGTGATATTTAAAATTATGAGACTAAATGAAATCACTAAGGTAGTATTAGATAATGGTGAAGAGTACCAAGGACAGAATTCTGGTCCACTATTAAGCTGTAAAGAAGAGGAAAAACTAGCAAAGGAGGCTAAGGAAGAAAAACCAAGAGTATGGGTCCTGAAAGTCATACAAAGCAAGTATATCAAGTAGGAAAAAGGAATTAACTTGTGAAAAGGTGATAACAGGCCAAGGAAGGGAAGAGTCAGATGCTGCTGCTATGTTGAATATAATAAAAGGCTAATATGCAAATCAGCCGAATGGCGGAACAACTGGTTGCTATGATGTGCACTGACCACCAGGGGCAGACGCTCAACGCAGGAGCTGCCCCCTGGTGGTCAGTGTGCTCCCACTGGCTGAGGGGGAGTGCCGCTCAGCCAGAAGCCCTAAGCCAGGCACACGGCTGGTGAGTGCAGCGGCGGTGGTGGGAGCCTCTCCTGCCTCCACAGCAGTCGGATACCCCCCTGAGGGCTCCTGGACTGCGAGAGGGTGTAGGCCAGACTGAGGGACCCTTCCCCCACCCCACCCCCACCCCCCACCCCAAGCGCACGAATTTCATGCACTGGGCCTTTAGTGTTGAATAAGAAGAGGACTGAGATCTGTTCATTAGATTTTGCAACATGGAAATTGTTGGTGACATTTTTTTACAAGAATGATGAAGGAAGAAGACAAAGGTTATTGCGGGTTTTGTTGTTTTTTAATTTCTTGGGAATATGATGACAGAGTGTAACCTATTGAATTTACATCTGGTAGAAGTGTATTTAACAAACAGTAGAACAATATTTAGGAAATAAGGTTTTTATTTTTACTAAAGAATAACCATAATGCAATTCCCATCTGTGAAAAAGTATGAAGATTTGTATGTCAATACTCTCTCACAAGTTATTTCAGATTTCTTATTTCAGAGAAATGCATTTCTTGCCTCATTTTTCAATAGACAAAAAAAGAAAAATCTCCAAGAATCCAGACTTTTCTTGGCACCTTATAATTCTTTGTATTGGGAATTAACCCCTCCTAATCTAAACGTCATATTTTAGTTTCATCACATTTTGGAAAATACAAGTAGGTTTTATATTTTATTTAATTAAAAGCCCAACCTTAATGAGAACCTGTTGGAATTTAAAATGTCTACGTGGTCACTGCCTTCAAGTTACTTTTTGTTTTGATACAGTGTCCCTCTCCATAGCCTGATATAAAATAGTTTGGTTGGAAACATAACTTTCCCCAACACCACTGGTGATATAGTTAAGAATTAGTGTATAGTAGTCTTCCCTTATCCTCAGCTTCTGTTACCCAGTCAGTTGCAGTCTGAAAATATTAAGTGGAAAGTTCCAGAAATAAACAGTTCATAAGTTTTAAATTGTGCACCTCTATGAGTAGCAGATGGTGCAATCCCACCTTGTCCTGCTGTGTCCCCCCAGGATGTGAACCATCTCTATGTCCAGTGTATCCACATTGTATATGCTACCCACCTGTTAGTCACTTGGTAGCCATCTGGGTTTATCAGATTGCCTGCCATGCTATCACAGTGCTTGTATTCAAGTGACCCTTATTTTACTAAATAATGGCCCAAAAGTGCAAGAGTAGTGATGCTGGCAATTCAAACATGCCAAATAGAAGTCATAAAGTGCTTATTTTAAGTGAAAACGTAGGTACAGTCCAGTAAGGTATTTTGAGAGAGAGACCATAGTCACATAACTTTCATTACAGTACATTGTTATAATTCAGTTTTATCATTGTTGTACTCTAGTTGTTGTTAATCTCTTATTATGCCTTATTTATAAATTAATCTTTATCAGAGGTGTGTGTGTGTGTATGTGTGTGTGTGTGTGTGTGTATAAGCCTAAGCCTAAGTGACTGTTATGACCAGTAGACTGAATGATTAGTAGACCGGCCGCTATGATGCACACTGACCATCAGGGGACAGACGCTCAGTGCACTCCCACAGCCAACCTCCCATGGTACCTCCCCCCAGCCAGCTGGCCCTGATTGACCCCGATTGGGACTGGGCAAGACAGCCCCAATCGGCTCCAATCTCCGACCAGGCCAAGGGACCCCACCCATGCACGAATTTGTACTCTAGGCCTCTAGTGTATGTATAGGAAAAAACATAGTATGTATATAGGATTTGGCACTATGCACGGTTTTCAGGTATTTACTGGGGTATCAGTCACTTGGAACATCAGTCTCTATAAATTGATGAAATTGCCAATGTCATTAAAATAAGTAAAAATTTCTGTAAATGTAATAATTCTTAAATTAACATTTTGAATTACTTTAATCTTATTTTTATTAAGGAAATGTTTTTATCCTGGAATTTTATAGCACATTGAATGTTCTAGCTTTCATAGAATATAACTGTTGTGGGGTGATTAGCTTTTAAATTCATTTTGCTGTGACTTTTTTTTTAGCATGGTCATTTCTTACTATGTGATAGAAATTGTTATCTTCTAAAAGTTGAAAATTCACTTAACATCAGATTCTTAAGAGCAAAACAGAGGAAGAAGTTTATCTCATAATAATAATGAGTTTAAAATTAGACTCATAACTAAAATTATTTTGTTTTATTTTTTTACAGGAGTTGAAACCTGATATAGTAACTAAATCTGCTCTTGGTGATGATATCAATTTTGAAAAAATCTGCAAAAAGGTATATCTGCAGTGGGTTGTATTTTTTTTAAAAGTTCCTTATTTATATTTTTTACTTTTTTCCTTAATGAGAAAACTTATGAAGAAGCCAGGTATTATTAGTATATAATGAATTTTCCCCACTTGACCTTCAATTTTGCCACCAAAAAAATATTTTTTAAAAATATATTTTATTGATATTTTACAGAGAGGAAGGGAAAGGATAGAGAGTTAGAAGCATTGATAAGAGAGAAACATCGATCATTTGCCTCCTGCACACCTCCTACTGGGGATGTGCCAGCAACCAAGGTACATGCCCTTGACCGGAATCAAACCTGGGACCCTTCGGTCCGCAGGCCGACTCTATCCACTGAGCCAAACCTGTCAGGGCCCAAAAAAATATTTTATAGTAATTTATGAATTTCCTTTGCTGTGTTATCACACCTTCAAGGTCCTTAAAGGCACTGAGTTCTCTACAGTTAATTGATGTTAGATATGTTAAATGTTGACATAATATGATATTAATGTGTTAGATAACAGTTTGTCAATCTTACTAATTCAAACAATTGTTATTTTTATTCTTTCCAAATAATTTCCATGAATATTTCCCTTAACCCCTGCCATTCACCCTGTGAATGACTTTTTTTTTTAATATATTTTTTATTGATTAAGATATTACATATGTGTCCTTGTCCCCACGTTACCCTCTACCCCCCCACCCCCCCCGCTCATGCCCTCACCCCCCCGTTGTCCATGTCCATTGATTAGGCCTATATGCTTGCATATAAGTCCTTTGGTTGACCTTTCCCCCTTACCCCCACCCTCCCCTACCTTCCCTCCAAGACCCGACAGTCCAATCAATGCCTCTCTGTCTCTGGATCAGTCCTTGTTCATCAGTTTATGTTGTTCATTATATTCCACAAATGACTGAGATCATGTGGTATTTATCCGCTCTCCAGTTCCATCCATGCTGTGGCAAATGGTAAGAGTTCCTTTTTCTTCTTCCTCTTCTTAAAGAATACCTTTCAGCATTTCATATAATGCTGGTTTGGTGGTGATGAACTCCTTTAGCTTTTTCTTATCCGTGAAGCTCTTTATCTGACCTTCTATTCTGAATGATAGCTTTGCTGGATAAAGTAATCTTGGTTGCAGGTTCTTGCTGTTCATCACTTTGAATATTTCTTGCCACTCTCTTCTGGCCTGCATGGTTTCTGTTGAGAAATCAGCTGACGTCGTATGGGTACTCCCTTGTAGGTAACTGACTGTCTTTCTCTTGCTGCTTTTAAGATTCTCTCTTTGTCTTTTGCTCTTGGCATTTTAATTATGATGTGTCTTGGTGTGGTCCTCTTTGGATTCCTTTTGTTTGGGGTTCTCTGCGCTTCCTGGACTTGTAAGTCCATTTCTTTCACCAGGTAGGGGAAGTTTTCTGTCATTATTTCTTCAAAAAGGTTTTCAATATCTTGCCCTCTCTCTCCTTCTGGTACCCCTATAATTCTGATGTTGGTATGCTTGAAGTTGTCCCAGAGGTTCCTTACACTATCTTCATATTTTTGGAATCTCTTTTCTTTTTTCTTTTTCGGTTGGGTATTTTTTGTTTCTTTGTATTTCAAATCTTTGACTTGATTCTTGGGATCCTCTTGTCTGCTGCTGGATCTCTGTAAATTATTCTTTATTTCAGTCAGTGTATGCTTAATTTCTAGTTGGTCCTTTTTCATGTCCTCCATGGTCTCACTATACTTATTGAGGGATTCATTAAATTTATCGGCGGTTTCCATAAAATTCTTGAAAAACCTTATAAACGTGGCCTTGAACTCTATATTCAATCGTTGGCTTTCCTCCATTTCTGCCATTTGTGACCTGTTTCTTTGTCTCCGCATTTTGGCAGCTTCCCTGTGTTGATAGAGTGGCCCTGCGCGCCAGGTGTAGGGCCCAGTAGTTCAGCCTCCCCAGTTACCTGGGGTGGACACTCTTGGTGCACTCTTGGTGCCTTGGTTGTTGTAGAATCACTGGGAGGAATTGACCTCCAGGCCAATTGGCTGTGAGAATCAGCTGTGTCTAAAGTGGGAGAACTTCTGTGCTGAAGACACCCTTCTGGGGCAAGACTTGCTTCAGTGGGGCTTTGGAGCTCACTGAGTCTGCTCCCTGAGTGTGTCCCTTATGGATCTGAGGAGTTGCAGTCTGGATGGTCCCCCTCTGACCACTGGGTACAGTGGCTCCTGGATCTAAGGAGGTGCTAATTCAGCCTCTGCCTGAGGCCACACAGCAGGAGCCACGAAGAGGCTCAGCTGTGAAGCAATGCAAGCCGCTGCGGGGCCTTGGGCCTTCTCTTGGAAGTTCCGGGTCTGCCTGGCTCGGCTGCAGTTAGGTACATTCACATGCAAAAGCCTCTGCCGCAGCCTGGGTGGGGCGGGGTCTCAGGGAATCCAAGGGCGGATCAAGGAGCTATGGCTGATTCTCCGCCCGTAGTCGCGGGTCTCAGTGACCCGCTAATTGCTGCAAGCACCTCTGAGGGAAAGCCGCCTTCAAGTTCGCCCGCTGCCGGACAGACCAGCTTCTCCCCGTATGAGTCCTGGGTCCCCAGAGACTTCCCGGAACCGGAGTTCAGAGCAGTCGGGAGCTTGTGATTCAAAAAGACAGCCGCGTCCTCAGGTGCCACCCCCTTTCCGCGCGCGCGAGCCGCCGTACCTCTGCACTTCACCTCCGCAGCGCCTCTGGCTCTCAGCGTGCTTTTCTTTCCTTCTAGTTGTAGAATTTACACTCAGCCAGCCTTTCTGTTGTTCTGGATGATGTTTGCTCAGTCCTTTGCGGTAATTTTCACTTGTTGTGTGAGGCGACAATTTCCCGGTGTTTACCTATGCCACCATCTTAGTTTCTCCCTGTGAATGACTTTTTTAAACTCCCTTTTACAAATGAGAAATACTGAGAAAATGAAGTGAGACGATTAAGGTTATACCACTGTTATGCTGTACAGTTAGGACTTTTATCCAGTTGTTCTGCTTCTTGTATTTGCAACTCCTGCTTCTTCTTTACTATTTGCCTTTTTATATTTCCACTCATTTTGCTAATGCCTACAATTAAGAGAATTTCTACCTGAAAACAGATTTTGGGTTGATTGATTTTCTACATTATTTTTCTGTTTTTGCTTTCATTGACTTTTGCTCTACTTTATATTATTTGTTTTTTCTTGCATTTGTACTTTGCTCTTTTTCTAGTTTCTGAATATGGAAGCTTAAATTACTGATTTTATACCTTGTTTTCTAATGTAAGCATTTAATGATACAAGTTTCCATCTAAGCACCACTTTAGCTACATCTCATATATTTGACATATTTTCATTTTATAGTTCAAAATGTTTTGAATTTCCCCTGAAATTTTATCTTTAAATGATGGTTTAATTAGAACTATATTCTTTAATCTCTGAGTAAATAGGGGATTTTCCAGGTATATCTTTTTTAAATTTTTATTGTTGAAAATATTACATATATCCCCTTTTTTCCCTCATCAACCCCCTCCACTCCCCGCCCCAGGCCCTTACCACCCCACTGTCTGCTTCCATGGGTTATGTATGCATATATGCATACAAGATCTTTGGTTGATTTTTCCAGATATATCTTTGTTACTGTTTTCTTTATGATACATGAGCATACTTTTTATGGTTTTTATTATTTTAACTTGATTATTTGTTATCTTGGTGACTATTTTATGTGCACTTGAAAACAATATGTATTCTATTGGGATCAGTGTCCTATAAGTGTCTTAGGTCAAATTGAGTGATGATGTTGTTCAGGTGATTTATATATTTACTGATTTTCTTCCTGTTTTATTGATTATTGAGAGAAGTATGTTGGAATCACCAACTATAAATGTCAGGTTGTCTATTCTAGCCTTAAGGAAAAATATACTCTTGTTCTACATTTATGTAGATTTGCACCGACTTCTCTACAATTAATTGGCGTTAGATATGTTAAATGTTAAAAGCATTTTATTGGAGGAGGGCCAGAATAGAAAATGTTTTTATTTGTTTGAGGAGCGTGAGGATTTGTTGTTGCCATCATTGTCCTTGTCATAGAAGCAACACCAAAATATTGAGCATGATTTTACAATAGCCTCTTTATTTTATACTACTATGATTTTTCAGTAAATATTATTTCATAGGAGTCATTCATAAAAGAGCAGGAAAAACTAAGTTTTGTTATAGCTAAATAATGACATCTTAAATAGAATAGTGGTAATTGTATAAAAATATGGCAGGATATATTTTTGCTTTCTCTTGAGAGTTTTAAAAAAATATAATATTTAAGATTTTTACCAGAATACATTTTTTAAACTTTTTGGTCTCTAAGTTCTAAAGGTATTTCATTAATGTTTAATTTGTGGTAAGAGTAAAAAGCAACTTATTTTTAGTTCCTTAATAATATTGTGTTTTTATCTAAACTCTAACAGTAACACTTGGCAATATTTATTACTTAACTTGAACTGGAAAATATCCAAAATAAAATATCCTGTGTCTTTTCTTTTTGACTTCTCAGCCAGATTGTTTTTCCTTTGGAAGGTTAACATCAGTTAACGTATGTGTAATATGTGTAAAATCAGTTTTTTAGATTATCATCTGTCTTCCATTTACATCCCTTTGTTCAACCTTCCAGTGTTTAAAATATTTAAATTGAAAATGGAAAAACAAACATCAGTATTACCTTATCATTATTTCTAATAGTAAATTCATTTGTATATATAGTCCTGAGATTTGTAATAGTAATTCAGATAGGGAGATGTCGGAGAGCCGATTTCGGCTCAATCCCTGCAGGCCAGGCTGAGGGACCCCACCGGTGCATGAATTTGTGCACTGGGCCTCTAGTATGCATATAAGATCTTTGGTTAATCTCTTCCTGCCCTTCCCTCTCCCCCCTTCCCACTGAGATTCATCCCTCTGTTCCATGTTTCCTTGCCTATTGTTTTCGCTCCTGCAGTGAGCTCTGCTCCCTGGTTGTCAGTGTGTGTCAGGTCAGTCGGTTGCTTAGGCTT